TTAGATATATATAAAATGAGAGAGATCGAATCTATCGATATAAAATGATGGAAAATTCATTCGATTTCTCTTAAGACACACGTTAAATATATTTAATATATATTGAATTTTATTTTACTTACTTACTTACTTACTTACTTAATTTTTAGGTTATAAGTCACGTTAGTAATTAAATTGTTCCCGGATTATAGAATTTGTTAGCGGAATTATATGACGTACGATCGGTTACGGGGACTAATGATCATTTTTTTTTTTTTTTATTACGAGCCAATGAAAAAGAAGAAGATAATAATAACAATAATAATAATAACATTTATTTATATAATATTATATAATTTTTTTCTTGCTTTTATTTTCAGTTTAATTCTATTTTTCTTTGTTCTTTCTTCCTTCTTCTTCTTTTTCTTGTTGCATTAGAGCCGATCGTGATCACGTTCGGCACGTTTCTTCGGTGATTACAGTGCAGATGGGAACTACGAGGTGACACTGATGACCAAGGCCACTGTCTACCATACAGGATTGGTCGTATGGCAACCGCCGGCTGTTTATAAGTCTTCCTGCTCCATCGACGTTGAGTTCTTTCCGTACGACGTACAGACCTGTGTTTTGAAGTTAGGCTCCTGGACCTATGACGGTTTCAAGGTGCCACGATATTCAAATCGGAGCACGATCATCGCAGATTCCTTCCTAAAACTTTTTCTTTTTTTTCTTTTCGTTTTTTTTTTTTCGCTCGAAAATTATTCCACGTGTTAATACATATTTTATATACACATGTGTGATATCATTTATTTTTGATAGTTACCTAAGTCCAAATTATTTTGTTATTTTTTATTTAGAAGTGTTTTTTTTTATGGTTAATACATTTTACAATTGTTTTGTAGATTTTATTAATGTTAATAATATAATATTAATGTGGATTTAGGCTACTTTCAAAATAAATGACTCATATATATATATATTAGTATATTGGGTTGGCAATTAAATTTCTGACGTTTTTTTTTTTTAATTTTAACAAGGGAGAATATAAATTATTGATGAATTATTTAAAAAATTAAAAAGAGACGACAGTAATTTAGTTGCCAACCGAATATATATAGTAGGTTGATAAGTATGAAATTTGTTGTGCATCATATTTGTCAATTTTGTTTTCTTTTTTACAAATTTCATACTTAACCACCCAATATATATATATGTATATGTGTATGTATATATATGTTATAGTGAAAGATTGTAATTGGAGAATGTTAAGATTTATATAGTTGTTTGTGTTAACACTTACCAAATTAGGTGAAAGAACTAATTAATATTTCTGACATATATCAAACGATTATGTGAATCTTGATATTATCCAATTTCAATATTTCATTCATTCAACATATATTTACACATACTAGTATATATAATATATACAAGGTGTCCTTTAAATTAGTGTTACAAATGTGCAGAAAATAATTCTACATAATTGCAAGTATAAAAATGTAGAATACAATTAGTTCATACTGAATTTCATATTTTGGAGAATAATAAATATTAAACTTCGAACTTTTTGTTCATAATTTTTTTTTTGCAATCATTGTTACATATATCAATTAAATTCTTATGCTAATCCAAAAATACTTTTAATTTCTAAAATTAATAACTCATCAAGTCACTCAACAAATTTTCCAAATTTATTTTTCTCACAAAAACAAAGTATTCCATGAACAAGATTTGTATTCACACATTTTCAACATATTGTTAAATTATTTTCTATGTTCTTTTGTAACACCAATTACATGACACCTTGTATAATTATATATATATGTATATAAATATGTTTACACACGCAAATATACATATAATATATATTTAATATATATATTATGTGTTTCCATACAGACTGATTGTTTCCTATTATAAATTTAATTTCATTCGTTTCCTCGTAGTTTTATTTTCAGCGTTTCCTGCTCCTTTTCGTTGAATCTCGTTGAGAATGCATTCTCTTCACGTTGTTTATCATTATTACGGATTTGCTGCTCTTTGGCCGTAACTCGTGTGACTTATGATTTCAATATATGATATATATTATAGTTAACATATACATATATATATACATATATGTATATATACATATATATGATACATGGTTGTTGGACTTGCGGTGTGTGATTTTTTGATTATATAATTAATAATTATAATTATATTATATATGGCAATGAGATGAACGATTCTAAGTTTATATTTTTTTTTCTTTTTATTTTATCATCGATTTATTCATATAAGAGAGTTACACTATTTATTTAAATATTATTAATAGTGTATCTCTCATATACAAAAATATTTTATCTTCATTTGCGCAGCAAACGTTTTATTAGTATTCCTTTTTATCTACGCGAGGATCGAATTACAATTTCTTTTTCTTTTTTCTATATTTAATTCATTTAATTAGTTAAAATTGTTAATATTAAATTTATATTTCGTAGCAATAACATTAATGTTATTTTAAAATGAAGGATACCAAAATAATTATGAAATACAATAAGAGAAAATAAATCAACGCGATTAACAATTAATATAATAATCATATTTAATAATAATAATAATATAATAATAATTTGGATCCTCGCCTAGAAAAAAGTGAGCTTTCAATAGCAACGTGAAAAAGTATCGCGTATTTGTTTCTTTTTTGTCGAGATTAAATTAAAAATATCAAAATTCAAAATAAATTTATAGTTGAATATTCTTTCATTTATTTATCCCGTTCGTTATTTTATAGTCGTATAGTTATAGTCCTACGTATGATAATAATACATAGGAAATTAGAATTATTCGACGCATTTAGTGGGAAAGGTATAAAATTTTTTCTAATATAATATGAAAAAAGAAACAAAGAAAAAAAACAAAAGAAAAGAAAAGTAAAGACAAGAAAGAACAAAAAATAATTATTTAATAATTATAATATATAACTTCTCATGGATTTTGTATATTTCCCCCCCCCCTCCCCAACCCCTCATTATCCACCTCATTCCATAAAAAATTAAATTTAATATCATTATCAGATAATATAAAAATACGATTGATAATATCATTGTATTGTGAAGTATAATGTTGAAAGTACGTATGTATATGTATACACATATGTGTATGTAATACGTATATGAGAACGTTTGATCGGTTATAATACTAAATTCTGTTCCACCAACCACAAAACGTGAAATTCTGTTCGTTCAACACTATGTCTGTCTCTGAATTGGTATTGTTGGTGTTGTTGGTGTTACTGTTGTTAACAGATGACCTTTAGAGAATCGTTGGATGAATTATATAGCAGTGGTTTTAGTAGTTATAGTTGCAAATATGAAAGCAGAACTCTATATACGTAGTAAGGATTTAGGTTCGATTAGGTGTCCCTCTGATCTTGCTAAGTGTTAAGAATTATTCATAAATTTTTTAAATATAATTGTTAGTAATGCCTATAAGTGAGATTGTAATATATAATTCTTGAGTAAAAATAATTAAACGCGATTTATTAATTGAAATAATATTTTATTATTAGGATTAAACCTTTTATTTTTTTTTTCCTGATCATAATTGATTTTCAATTAATTTTATACAGTCAAATTTTGTTAATATTGGTCACATAGAATTTTATTAATGATTTATACAATGATGGAATATACACTACTTGTTCAATGTTCAAATTTTATTAATATAATTTATGATATTTAATATGAAAAATAATGTTATGTTAATATTGATCACATAGAATTTTTTAGTTTAAATTATAAAATGTTGAATATAAGTAATAATAATAATAATAACTGACTTAATTTTACTATGAACATTTATTTTTATATATGATGAATCTAAGATTGAAAGTAATTATCGTCAGTATAATAATTATACAGTAAATTATTGAAACTCATAATCAATGTGTTGTCAAGTACAGACATTTAAATAATTAGAAACGAAGTATTAATTAACTTTCGAAGTGATTATGTCGAATAATAAATACATTCATAGTTCACAAACAGCTAGACAATTATTATTATCATTATTTGTATTTTATATTTTCATTATAAATCTTTATTTGATGACCAATGTTAATATTGAATTATATTTTTTATAATAATACACTGAAAATATGTGAACATTAAAATATTCAAATTCACCAGCAACACTAAACAATTTTATTAAAACATTGATTGATACAAATTTAATATTTAGTCGAATCACGAATAAATCAAAATTATTTTGCTGATTACTAATTATATTTTTTACTCGATATATATCAATTTAACATTTAATACGGCCCTGTATTATCGCACGAGTGGACATTCCGAAGGTTAAATCGAAGTATCGATCAACCGGAACAAACATCTTCCACCGACTTGACACAGTTAACACAGTAAACTTTCCATTGACTTCACCTTCCAAATCATTTCTCTTTTGTTAACGTATAATATATTATATACTCTTACATATTACATACATGTATACATACAAGTTATATACAAGTACTTGTGAAATATATAATCCACCATTAACCTTCGTTTCGTATTTTCCTTCCTATTGTGTTTCCTTAATGATCTGACAATGAAATGAAATTTTAAAAAAAAAAGAAAAGAATTTAATTAATCATTATTACAAATATCAAAAACGAGATCATTTTATTTTTTCGAATTAAACTTTCGATCATTTAATGGGGTATTCTAATATGTCTGATCAAATCAATTGATTATTATTTTTTTAATATTCTTATAGTTTGAATTCTGTTAAAAAAAGGCTATTGAAAATTTCTAAATTAAATATTCATTTAAAATAATTAACAATATTAGATACAATCCCATAGAAATTATTATTGCATGGGGATACTTAAAATGCTTTTTCAACAAAATAAAAAATTAGTTATTAGAATTCATTTAGTATGAACAAATGATAAACATTTTTCTTTATATGACATTAATCAACATTCTGTATAACACCATAGAATTTAAAAAAAACATTTAAACAAAATTTCAAACGTTACTCTTCAAACCTGTGTATAAATATAATTCCAAAGAAAATAATCAACGTTTCATTCGAATAACAAATTTCTAATTAAAAACAAAAATACTCTTCGTTCATATATAAACCATAATAATTAATATAAGAAACCCCATATAAAAAACACATGTTCAACGTTTTACAATACATTTTCATCGAAAAATTTTCTTTCTCGACTATTTCACTTATGGCAGCATCCTTTACATACTTCTATACGCATGTATTTCATTGGTGGTATAAAGATAGAAAGAGAAAGAGAGATAGAGACATGGAGAATGAGAAAGAGAGAGAGAAAAGGGATCGATATTTCGTTGCATGTAGTACACTAACATATAGGAGAATTCTATACGCTTATTTCAACGCGTATCTCTTCGTACCAGGCTTAAAGCTCGCATAAGCTTTTGTAAGCATCGAAAGAGAGTGAGAGAGAACATCCCTCGAATTTCGGGCTCTTCGTACCGGGGGTTTTCTATTAAATTTACCGACACCGTAAGCGTGATGATCATCCTTTACTATCATCTCCCCATTTTATTCCCCATAAATTTTCTTCCTTTTTTTATTATTATTATTTTTTTTTAAAGAAAAAAAAGGAACAATTCGGAACGCAGTGTAAAATAATA